TCAAAGAAATTATTTGTCTTTATTATAACCATAAAATTGATTCACTTCTTATGGCACTCTGAAGTCACAGGAGGCTAACCCACTGAGTTTGAACACATCTTAAAATTAGGGAGGTGTATAATGTTTGAGCAGTTAGAATTTTAATAAAAATAAAAATTTTGAGTTGATAATTCAATCTTTTGAAATAATGACAAGTAATATGCTAGTTAAAAAACAAAAAAAAGATCCTACTGTCCAGCAGCCTTACAGTAAACAAGTCTATTTTGGCAGCAAAAATTTCCTGACTCTCACATATCCACATTTTTTCCTGGATTACCCATTTTCTCCTGTTTCAAATAGTGACCTCTTCTATCAGCTTTGCTTGCATCCTGGTCCATCAGTTAGATCCATGTCTGGATTCATGGTTCTTCAGTATCTTTTCCACAGAAAATTCCTTGCAAAGACTATGTAGAATAATAAAACCTGTTAACTCTTCTGTTTCCTTCTAGTAATACTTAGCATTTAAGTAACAAGTTTCATTAGGGCAATGTACAACCAATAATACTTCATGTTAGTTCCTGTACCCTCACCTGAACTGCTGTATGAAATGCTGTAAATAAATAGCCTATGTGAGGCCCTGGCATTGTGCAGTCACACAAAGCCTGGAGTCTCATCCCTCCTCCTTATCACAGGTAATTTGCTTAATGGCTGCTTTGCTGATGAGCTAATGTACCTACCCCTGCTGCAGGAATACTTGCACCTTCTCCACTTGAGGAGTGGAGAAGAGCTCTGGTTATTGTAGTGCATTTCAGCTCAATGGCCTGTTGATTCAGTTTCCTCCAGAAATCTTGGTGATCCAACACTGGGTTCTATGCTTACCAATTGAATAATGATGGAAAAGTATTATGTTTTCTTTTACTGATTTAATCTTTCTCATAACTGACACTGAAAGGAAAACTAGCCAAACAAGTCCAACATTCTCCATGTGTCATGCTTCAGATTAGCCATCTGTAGAAAACAGTAAAAATACTTTGCTGACAAACCTTCACGTGCACCATTTGGTGTTCGTTAACTTATGATCAGAACTGAAGGATCCAGGTCTTGGTCAGTGAGGCTGAGCAGAGGATCAAATAACTGGTGATGTAATGGACCTGTAAGAGGGGCTGTGTCAGCAGACTTGAGACACAGGGAAGCTGCTTTTGCTTTAGCTGGGTGCCAGGAGGGTGCCATGTTCCCTCTCAGGGGGAAACTCTGGGAGGAAGAGCAAAAGACTCGCATGGGAACTTACCTGGGGGTGCATACGAGTGTAAGGAGGAAAATACTTTGCTGGTACTATCATTTGTGGCGTTCAGCCATGTGATAGACAAGTTGATTTTGGAGTAACTCTCAGAACGTTGAGCCTGTACTGGCTTTCTTCCGCTTCTGAAATTTTTTAAGTAGAATTAAATATAGAGTTTATAGACAATTTTGTATTTTTCATTTCATCAAGTAAGCAAGCCTGCAATAGCTGTTTAAAGAATAAAGAAGGAAGGCAGTATGGACGGATTACGTTAACTGAAAGTTCTCAGTGCAAATACCTGCTAGTTCTATTTTTGCATACAATTAGTAATTGGAAAGCTTATACAATATTTTAGGGTATTGTTAACATGGGGCTAATCCCTGCTGCCAAACAGGTGGTGGAATCACTGCATTAAAAAAAAATTGAAATGTCCAAGACTGTGGAATTGCCCATGCTTTTTTGTCATTCATGTAATTTTAAGGCTAAAGCTCACCAGGAGCATCTAACTTCAAAGAAAGTAATTTAAAACCAGGAATGTGATACTGTAAATAGGCAGTCTCTATGGTTCACACTGCTATAATTTAAAATTCTTGAAAGTTTTGCATGTAGAGCTGCTTCTGCAACAGGCCGTTATGCATTACTGGTGACTTCCACATTAAAGTAGCAGGCTTTGCAAGTCAAATAGCTTTTTCAAAAGGCTCAAGTGGTGAGCTGAGCTAGAAGCTCTGAAACAAGCAGTCTGCTTCTGTGTTGGTGTTCATTACCAGCCTTCAACAGCAAAAAGAAGAATCCCTTCTTACTATGGCTGGCAAATTTTTCTGATGATGCCTGAGGCAGAATTGGATATCACTGCTGTACTGCTGTGTTAGCTGTGTAATGCTGACAACAATAAAAACAAGTTGTCAGTTTATTAAACAGATATGACAAAAAGTAAAGGGAACAGATGTATTTCATCAAGTTGCAATTTTTCGTGACTTATAAAAGCAAAAGTCTCCACCTATATTAAATACACTAGCATTTTTCCTAAGCGAGGAGATGGCTTGCAGTGTTGCACACAGTATGTATAATGAAAAGTGAATCAGAAAATGGTCATTTGATTACATTAGAGGACTATGTTATATTAAACAATGGAAATGAGATTTCCTTTATTAATTTTGAATATTCATTAGCCTGGCAAAGCAGCTAAAGCAATTTGCAAAATAGAAAAGATCAAGAAAAAACAAACATTATGTGAATTGTATTTCTCTTGTGAGACTGGTATGTCAGCAGAATTATTAAGATCTGTTTGAAGTTACTCATTCATGTAATCAGTTTTTCATGTTGTATATGCTCAGTAATTTATGTTCATATGGAATAGTTTCTGCTTTTTGACTTCAGTCTCATTATGCAGCGTTGTTCTAAGCAATGCTATCAAAGTCCCAAAATTCTCAGAGTGCATTTCTGAACATATTTTTTAAGATTTCAAATTCATAATATAAAATTTTGTAAGGGAAAGTAAGTCAGCAACTAAACCATGCCAGCACAGGTTTTACAAGACATTTGTAGGAGCCTGGTACATACAGTGGGATGTAGGGTTGAACAGATGTTACATGCTGTCTTGTCAACTTTAAGGTGTGTATTCCTTTTTAACACAGCATGTTCCTCTCACTGTACTTCCTGTAGGCAACGTTTTTCTTAGGAAAGGACTTTTTAGGAGTCAAATTTCCCAAGATGTTCCAAAATTCAGGTTGGAAGGTCACATATTCCCATTTTAAGCATTTTAGAAATAAAGAAGATACAGTATGTGCTGTAATTCTTGGTAACAAGTATAAATATCAAAAACAACATAGAACATATTCATACATATATACAGAAACAAATGGGTGCCTTGCTTTTCATTACTCTTTCTTGCCTGGCTAATCTTCATTTTCTAAACAAAGCTACTTACAGATACTGCAGTTGTAATTTTTCATTATGGAACATTAGCATTTAATCTTGATGAAACAGGGTTTTCTTGATTACATTTGACATACCATAAACCACTTCAGCAGACAGGGATTTGACAGAGAATCACATCCCATGGATTATTTTTTTGACAAATGTGTCCCTGCTGAGTGTTCCTTGGGGCTATGGAAGGTCTCCAATACTTGGGAAAGGTAATAATTCTAGTTTTTATTGTACAGTGACTGCATGTCATCTTGTACAATGAAAAAGAAATCATAAATACAGAAGTCTTTGGCAGAAAGTGGTACAGGGTATAAAATGTTAGGTTTTAATTATGTTGATAAATCCTCCATTTAAAATACAGAATGTGCTTTAGTTAGCAAATCTTTAAATAATATACTATACCAGACAAAAGATGCTGTTGAAAGAAGATCTCCAAACTGATGTGCTGGCAAATGCAAAGTGCTGGTGAGCTGCAGAAGAAGAAACCATTTTGCAATGCTTTAGTGATTTTCTCCAGCTTTATGCCGTAGGAACCCCATCTCTCCTTTTGAAAGAAAACCTGAAAGCTCTATTTCCTAAACTGCCTGCACTACAACAGTATATTCAAAGGAGTTTCATATGCTTCTTGTGTCTGATAAGTAGAATTTGCATATTGTACTTAAGTTGTAATCCAGTTGTTGTTGACATTTGTTTAATTATTATTATTTTAGGGGGGAAATAAGCTATACTGTAGCATTTCAATCGTGTATTTAATATTACTATTAGAAAATGCTAGACCATTGGAAGACAGCGATGACTGTATTGACATTGATTAGCATGATGTGGAAACTCTCTCAGCTGTTGGTTTTTGCAGTGTGATATAAAAAGCAAAAATGAACCGCTGTGCAGTTTGGCTTATGTTTGCTTTGAAGTGTGTAAAGTTTTAGTTATTTTGCAAAACTGTACTGTATTTGGGAGTATACAGTTATGAAGGTAACACTTGTTATTCAAAGGACAGATATACTTACTCTTGGATCATATGATGTATCATCTTAATTTGGCTTTTGTTATGCCGAAAGTTAACACCAGCTATTAAAATATATTTTAGTAGAAATGCTTTAATTCCTGTTTCTTCCTCTACACTGTGAATATTTAAGCCTTGGTGGACTAGAGCAACGTCATGCTGCCCGAAGTACTAACCTATGCAAACTAGTTCACATTTTAGTTGATGTCACAGTGGATGTAACATAGCAATTTATTTTGCATAACATTGAAGGTCATTCAAATAAAATATTAAACCCAGCACAATGTATGTATTATATTAATAAACAATACTCTACAAAGCTACCATATCCATAAATG